CGGGTATTTTCTTTCCCCGGGACCCCCCGGATCTGGTGGGCTTTCCCATCCCCCCCCCCCCCCAACCAAGGAGGCGCTCGATAGAAGATCAGTATCTCCGCATTTTCCATATATTCTATACCTAATTTTATTGTACATGTAAAACATTTTTGAGGTGCCATTTTCTTGTTACTACACCTGGTAGGATCAGTTTAAAATAAGTAGATGCTTGTTGATCTTAGCATTAACTTGTTTGTTGATCTTAGCATTCACTTGTTTGTTGATCTTAGAATTCATTTGTTTGTTGATCTTAGCATTCACTTGTTTGTTTATCTTAGCATTCACTTGTTTGTTGATCTTAGAATTCACTTGTTTGTTGATCTTAACATTCATTTGTTTGTTTATCTTAGCATTCACTTGGTTGTTGATCTTAGCATTCACTTGTTTGTTGATCTTAGCATTCACTTGTTTGTTGATCTTAGCATTCATTTGTTAGTTGATCTTAGCCTTCATTTGTTAGTTGATCTTAGCATTCATTTGTTGATCTTAGTATTCACTTGTTTGTTGATCTTAGCATTCACTTGTTTGTTGATCTTAACATTCATTTGTTAGTTGATCTTAGCATTCATTTGTTAGTTGATCTTAGCATTCATTTGTTGATCTTAGCATTCATTTGTTGATCTTAGCATTCACTTGTTTGTTGACCTAAGCATTCACTTGTTTGTTGATCTTAACATTCATTTGTTAGTTGATCTTAGCATTCATTTGTTGATCTTAGCATTCATTTGTTGATCTTAGCATTCACTTGTTTGTTGACCTAAGCATTCACTTGTTTGTTGATCTTAACATTCATTTGTTAGTTGATCTTAGCATTCATTTGTTAGTTGATCTTAGCATTCATTTGTTGATCTTAGCATTCATTTGTTGATCTTAGCATTCACTTGTTTGTTGATCTTAGCATTCATTTGTTAGTTGAACTTAGCATTCATTTGTTAGTTGATCTTAGCATTCATTTGTTGATCTTAGCATTCATTTGTTGATCTTAGCATTCACTTGTTTGTTGATCTTAGCATTCATTTGTTAGTTGATCTTAGCATTCATTTGTTGCTCTTAGCATTCACTTGTTTGTTGATCTTAGCATTCATTTGTTGATCTTAGCATTCATTTGTTAGTTGATCTTAGCATTCATTTGTTGATCTTAGGATTCATTTGTTGATCTTAGCATTCACTTGTTTGTTGATCTTAGCATTCATTTGTTAGTTGATCTTAGCATTCATTTGTTGATCTTAGCATTCATTTGTTAGTTGATCTTAGCATTCATTTGTCGATCTTAACATTCACTTGTTTGTTGATCTTAGCATTCATTTGTTGATCTTAGCATTCACTTGTTTGTTGATCTTAGCATTCATTTGTTGATCTTAGCATTCACTTGTTTGTTGATCTTAGCATTCATTTGTTAGTTGATCTTAGCATTCATTTGTTAGTTGATCTTAGCATTCATTTGTTGATCTTAGTCTTAGCATTCATTTGTTGATCTTAGTCTTAGCATTCATTTGTTGATCTTAACATTCACTTGTTTGTTGATCTTAGCATTCATTTGTTGATCTTAGCATTCATTTGTTGATCTTAGTCTTAGCATTCATTTGTTGATCTTAGCATTCATTTGTTGATCTTAGCATTCATTTGTTGATCTTAGCATTCATTTGTTGATCTTAGCATTCACTTGTTTGTTGATCTCAACATTCATTTGATATAAATAAAAAAAATTTCATTTTATTAAGTAAGAAAAAATTTTGATTCTCAAGATTTGAAGAAGACATTTAGAATAATTTCTGTTGAACATTTCTTTTTTCAGGAAGACCTCTTTGATGTTTCTGTACTAAACCACCATCATTATGTCACCATAACTCTCCAACCCTCTTCTTTCCCCCCTAATAAATGTGAAGATTAAAGACCACTACTTAATACAGCCCATAATTATAAAACTTGGGTTGATCTCTATAAAACATGGGTTGATATTCCATTTTCTTTACATACAACAAACAGAAATAAGAACAGATAATTCAGCATGAGTTCAGTATGGACAAAGATTTATTAAATGCATAATATATTAAATGGTGAAGCTCTTACAATGAAAACAAAATTCAATAAACTCATAAGTAATTATACTTTGATCACAACTTTCACAACTTCAATCACATAATTATAATGTGGAAAATTTTAAAATAATGAGTTGTTTTTTTTTCTCCCCCACATCTCAAAAATAAAAATATGTGAAAAGAAAAGTCTAACTTAAACAAATATTAAAGAAATTTTCATATTTTAAAAATTAATAATTAAAGTTAAATAATGCCAATTGAAAAAACAAGAAAAAAACTGCAATAAATAATGAAAAGTTTCTTGTGTTTAAATGCAGATTAAAAAATTTGCAGTCAATAAGAAATATTTGTGAAATAAAAGAATTATTGTTAATCAGGATTATATGGATTCAACAAATTCACAGAAAACTCTTTGATTTTATCTACACCTCGTACTTCTTCTGGTAACAGAGGCAGCTTGGTAACATGAAAATCTTCATATAAATCGGTTATCTGAAGAAAAAATAGCACAATAGAGAATAGTTAAAAACGTGTGGAAAATCATATAAAATGTTTAAATTTAAATGCATTATTCTAAAATATTGTGTTCTATGCTTAAAGGCTGCACTGTTTGCTATTACTCAGCTGCCTGTGTGTAATTAACATTTTAGTTCCCATTAGGGACCATTCCAAAATTAATGTCATAACTGTAAGCTCCTAGCCTACCAAAGTTGTCAAGTGTACAGATCAATAGAAATAGAATATACCATTTATTTTTTCCCACTCAGAGTACCAGGCATTAAACATTTTCCTTCCAGAGTATATTTAATGGTGTTATGCCAATATTTAAATGTCTAATTTGCATAGTACCGGGGTACTTGTTTTCAATTTTGTTGTCTATCTCAGCAGTTTTAACATTTTAATTTTGTTGTCTATCTCAGATTTTTTATAACGTTAAAAGCCTGAGTACCAACCTTGCATAACAATTTATCTGTTCAGTGATTTAAGTGCATTTCAATATCTTCATGTATTTTGGTTATCATCCTTATAGATAGTCTTGTAGAATCCTTCTAAATATTGCATGTTTACACGATACCTTATAGATAGCCTTGTAGAACACTTTTGAGCATTGCATGCTTACACCATACCTTATTGAAACCTTATGAGCATTGCTTGCTTACATACCATAGAAACAAATAAAATAAAGTCAATTATGGACTTGTACCTGATCCAAATATTTTGCTTGAATTTTCTGTCTTGCTTCACATAAACAACAAGATTTTTCTCCCTTCCTTGCAATATTCAGTTGATTTACTATGATATTGTGGGTATCGATGCCAAACTGCGTCAATTCCTGCACCAGCCGCTCTGTCTCATAAAGTGATAGAAATTCTGCTATACACACACACACAAATGTGGTCTGATCCTGTAAAATGGAAATTAATATTTAACAAATTATTGTATAATAATTAACATGGTCCAAATAATAAAATTTCATAATTAAAAAATGTATTATTAATAAAGTTGGAAACCAAACTCACAGCGTTCTTAAACTGTGTGTTCACTTGTCTTATAGTTGCTAACATTTCTTCAAATTTATTTGACATCTGGTCAGCGTTTAAGTCTTGCATGCCCATCATTCCAGCCATCTGCAAGGAAATTTGGTCTTGACTTGAGATTTTCATTGCAATATTATCAATAACATACCGGTATGTCAAATGAAAATATTCAGTTGTTAAGAGATTAGCAGGAAATGGTAAACAGTGCTTAATCAAATAATGAAAAAAAATACGGTCTAAACAAAAGAAAAGCAAATGTTTTCTCTAAAAAAAGAAAAGGCAATGGATAAGAGATAAATACAACGGTTACCTGTGAAATAAATGGACTGATTTGATTTTTCAGCCTAAGCAATTTACCCAGGCCTTTCTCAACAACTGAAGGGAATGACAGGAGGCGCAGAGTGTGGCCAGTTGGTGCGGTATCAAACACAACCACAGAAAAATTCATGTTTTTTACCAATCTGAAATTAAATGAGGAAATATTAATGCGTTGTTAGTTTGCACAGAAAAACTGACTTTAAAGACAAAAGTAGAAATCTTTACTTGATGATAATTCAGAAAGATTTGCTTGTTTCAATCTCATACCTCATTACTTCAGCAAAACTCATGGCTTCATCAATGCCAGGAAAAGCACCCAGGAGTTCTTGTATCATACCACGCCCCATGGACATCATATCGGCTAAAAAAAAAGTAAAGAAAGTGAAATTGCATTAAGCAAAATGTCTGCTTTTATTAGCAATTAAAAATTTAGGGGAAAGAACTCTAGAAAATCATGAAACAACTTTCTCAATATAAGTCATAGGCAAAGTCACCATGTTTCACGGTACAAAAAAGTTAACTCTTTCTCTCCGGATCAACGCTTCCAATTGTGGATTTAAATGAGGTTTTCAGATGGATTGACGATGACATCGTCGATGCATAAAAACCTGTTTGTTTCGGTTCTTTTCTTAGCTATTGGTTTGAAATTACTTTTAAACAAATCTCGAATGATTTCTCTTTAAAAAACATTCCTGAATTTCTTTTATTCAACAATTTTTAATTAAAGATCGGTTGTTTTATCTATTATATTTTTGTTTACAAACATGACATAGTAATTGTTTTCAACTTCGTTGCTATATCAGCAGTTTAAACATTTTAATTGCATTGTCCGTCTCAGCAGTTTCAAAACGTTTACAAGCATGAAATATTAACCTGACCCATCTGGCGATGGATCTAATAAAGGTTGAAAATATTACTCTGATGATGAGGATTCAAACAGTGATTTTATGATTTCGGATGCCGAGGCTGATTCTGATGAATCGTGTATTTATAATCCTAGTCTTAGTATTAATAGTACTAGTGACTACTTAATGAAATTGGTAATTCATCAGCTGATGAACAAACAGCCCCACCCCCAAGCCTTCTAGAAGAGCTAATACTGTTCCTAATATAAATAATGTAGATTCTAATAGGAATGCTGCTGATCTTAGCACAAAAACTGAGTGCAATTTCAGATTTTTACCTTTGAAAAATGTAGGTTTAAATTTGGAGCTTGTTCTGTGACTAGTAAGTCAAATGACCTTTACTGTTTTTTTTACTTTGCCAGACACACATATTATTCACAAGCTTGTACTCTCAATAAATGAGTACGCTTCCTTAAGATTGAAAATCAACACTCCACCAAGACTAATCGAAGCAAAACATGTGCCTATTGGCTCCAAAAAGAACAGTGGTTGCGGCAAGCACTGTAGAACAGGGCGAACTGTATTGGTATATGTTTGTGCTGGATGTGAGTCATTGTGCTGGATGTGAGTCGATTCCGCACATCCCTATGGAATGTTTTCAAGCTTACCATAGGTAAACCCAGATGAAAAGATATGACATATTTATGGTAAATTTTCCATTTACCAACATAAATGTTAATACATACAAGGATACAATGCAAATATTTTTTTACTAGCAACAGATTGTTTCCAGTTTTTTTCTGACATTTTTTGTGTGGCTGTGACAATGGATAATGTGCTCACGTGTTTCATTTTAATTTTTATTTTAATGTGATCTTTATTATTTGTGATGCACATATGGATATCGCTCAGCAATAATTTTGTGTGCGTTAAACTTTGGATTATAAATTTTTCTTTGTTTGACTTGGAATGAGCATTTTGTGAACATTTGGTGAGTTTTTATTTTTTTATTTTTATTTTCCTTAAATCCTAATCACATATAAATATTAAAACTTAAACATACGTCTGTATTGTCTGTAAAGAGCATGCATTCCCTTTTAATTTCATACCAAAAATAACATTTTCTGATGAAAAACAAAAAAGTTATGATGGTTTTGAGATAACATAGTAGTGCGTAAAAAATATGCAAAATATATAAATCCGTCAGAACGTGGAAATTAATTCCGGAGAGAAAGAATTAAAACACTGTTTATAACAACATTTTTTTCAAGGACAAAAAATTACTATCCTCAAACTTATAAATAAACGACTATCCTCAAACCTATAAAAAATGGTTATCCTCAAACCTACAAAAAAAAATGATTAATGTTTACTCACTACCTTGCTCATAATACTCATCAGGTAATTCTGAGAAACCCAAGTTGGGGTCTATTTCCTGTATTCAAAAAGAAAAAAATACAAAAAATGACCTATCTCATTGAAAGAATGCATGTAATAAGTTAAGTTAGATGGATAAATTATTACTAATGTTAGCATGATAGGTAACGCTTTGGTTTTTACATCATATAGTTCAATTAGTTTATAGTTTATATTAAATTTTAAAGTCAAGATTTACATGTAAGTTACCATAGCAAACAAGTTGTCAAACCCTTTGACAAGTGAAGGGACTTTGGAGAATTTCTGACTGAAGGCATCAGAAATATTGTGTGCAGGGTCTGTGGAAATTATCAATACTGTTTCTCTCACTTTAGCCAGCTGAACAGCCAAGCAGCAACTGCATTTAGAATTATTAAAGTTATAATTAGTAACAAGAAAATTTGTATTCGGATTTGGAGGATGGCAAGAGTGAATAAGTGTTTGCAGAAATTCAGAATAAAATAATTCCAAAAAATATAGTAGGCCTCAGTGCTGAAGGATTGTTGTTCATCCTTCGCATGTGAAGATGACCAAGGCTATATTCCACAGAGAGTTAGCAGGTGGCTTGGCAGCTTGCTTGTATGTAGGAGTAGGAAACACATGTCCTTGGGTCATATAGAGATTGGATAAGATTCTACTTTTCCTTGCGCGCTTTCTTTGAGCATGTGCGGTAAGTTAACTCTCAGAAGATTGTGCTCCAGTAGTGAGTCTCCCTCACCAGCTTGTGCAATCTAAAAAGTGTTTCCCATTAAGGTTGATGTCCACACCATGGATTTGAGAGACACTTTAGGACAATATTTAAAGCGTTTTTTTTCTGCCCACCAGCTAACCATTTCCCTCTGGAAAGTTGACTGTACACTGACTGTGCTGCCAACATATGCCAAGTAGTTTTCATAACCAGCATAGGGTAGGTTTGAGTAGGTTTTGGATGGTATCTATAACTATAATTATAATAGTACAGTAGTCGTTAAATTGACAAATGAAGGATTAATTAACAGAGTTAGAGGCCAAGTGTATGAGTATGGGCTAAAAACTGAAACTATGAATATGAAACTTTAAGATAATATAGTAGGGACCTGTCATTTTATAATTGTTTATTGAACAGATTTTCCCAATTGTTAAAATTAATCAACAGCCAGTGACTGTTAAACACAATGACAATGTGAATTTTGTGATCAATGTCTGAAAATCATGTAATGTAGTTTAAGAAGACATTCAAATATTCATTCATAGGTTGAATTTAGGCTGAGTGCATTGTTTACCGAGTGTGTGAATAACTGAGATACACTATCATACACACAGCTAAAACGAGAGTAACTCAATCGAGAGAGAAACAGTTACAGTTACTGTCACTGCTGATTGGCAGTTTCAAGTTCAAGTTTCTGTTAAAATTTAACTTAAAATAGACTAACTTTAACTTGTGTTATTTAGGCCCTACGCTAGTCGTAACTAAATGTGAAGTCACACGGTCATTACAATATTCAAATATATTATTTTTTATCACCTTGTAGTAGTCTTTCCAACACCTCCTTTTCCACCAACAAAAATCCATTTCAAGCTTAACTGATCTATAACATTTTGCAACGATGGTTCGTAGTCAAGTTTCGAGTCATCACTTGCAGTCGCCATGTTTATTTATTTTTAGAAGTATCGAGATCAGGGCTGCCACTCACTTTTTTTAAATTTCCCAAGATTTGGTGAGCAAATTTCCCAAGATTTCCCAAGATCATCAAATATATAAGAGTTGTTTTTTTTTTAAAGTGGGGTTTTCTATGTAATTAATGTAATAATAGATTGAATCAATGCCCCTGAAAAACATGGTACATTAATGGACTGAAATTTATTGAAACAGACATTTAAAACATGTTTATCACATTAAAAAAAAAATTTGTTTTTAAAAAAATAATTTATAATCCAAAATATCAATACCCACTGGAGTTAGGCTACTAAATATTACCTCCGAATTCTCTGATAAAAATATGATCTACAATACATGTGTAATAGAAGTCACTTGGAAAAAAAGCATACAAGGCTAATCAACACAGAATTCCTTTTACAAAGGCAAAAGGTTCTTCATCAAAAAATGATTTTTTTTTATTATTGTAAATCTGTTGATTAGAAGTGGGGTTTGCAAAGCAATTAAGCAAAATTTATTGATAATAATTGTAGTTAAAATGGATTGATATTACGATGAAAAGAATAAGTATTTTTATTTTTTCTTGTAAATTTACATTATAACGATTTTTTCACCCAAAAAAAAAATACTTTTAAAGGAATTGTTCATTTACAATCCTTCAACGTAGGCCTATACTATTAATATCTTAGTTAACCGTGTTTCAATCCACAAATAATATTTTTTCTAATTGATGAAAATTAGGCTGGATTTTTTACAGATGCATTATATTTTGAACACATTGTAGAAGTAATTGAAATAATAAAATTCTACTATGGCATGGATTCTTGATTGAAAACTATCGTTCACTCTTTGGCTTGTACTGTTTTTTGTATGATTGCTAATGTCTAATTATATTTTGAACACATTGTAGAAGTAATTGAAATAATAAAATTCTACTATGGCATGGATTCTTGATTGAACACTATCGTTCACTCTTTGGCTTGTACTGTTTTTCGTATGGTTGCTAATGTCTAAGAGCATAATGATAAAGTTTCCGAGCCTAACCACCCCCCCCCCACACACCATTTAATAAACATTCAACACCTGGATGTAATTTGTAAATCTTCAATTTTTTTTTTTTTAAGAGAAAATTGAATTTTTTTTAAAATTATTAACTTTTTAATAATTCACAATATTAACTTTAATATCAGAAGAGTTTTTATTTATTTTATGAGTGGATTTAAAAATTAAAACCAGAAAAGAAAATGAAAACAATTAATTTTTTGCCTTGTTACTTTAAAAAATTATTTTGCTTTATTTTTACTTTATTTTAATCAGATATTGTTGCGTTTTTTCGAAAAATATAACAAAATTTCCCCCCAGTTAAGATTTCCCAAGGTTTTGCCTGATTTTCAAAATTATTCCCCAGATCCCAAGTGGGGTCGTGAATTCCCAAGATCTTGGGAAATTTCCCAAGGTGTGGTAGCCCTGATCGAGATTATTAATTATCGATATCATTAATAGCTTGTACTTGTCAACTCTCCTAGTCTTGTATGTAATGTATGAACTTTACTATAAAAGTTCCTCACTTTTAGTCAAGTCATGATTATTATATTTTTTTTACGTCAACAAAATAGGCGTAGATTCTAGCATAATTTTAGGAACAATTTCAGTAACAAGAGCTATGAAAAGGTATGATCAGTGGCGTACCAAGTTGGGGGAAATGGGTCGGGAAATAGTTTTGAAATGTATAATGGGGTGCAAGAAATGTTTTAAAATCAGGAAGGATCAGGGCCGTCTTTACAGCAGCAGGGACCCTGGGCAAATAAATACAATGAGGCCCCCTATATAGTCTATATACTTAGGGCCATGCGAATGGTCCAGGTTGGCCTATGCGTTTTGACCATTTTCCTTTAAGTACTTTCTCCTCGGGGGCGTGACGGGTAGCATCTCAGGCGTTCTGGGGAGGGGATGCCGGCCATCTATCAGCACCGAAATTAAGCATTTTGACGCCAAGGACCAGCTCTGACTTCGCCCACCCCCTCCGTCATACATGACCATAAATTAATTCTGGAAGTGGAGCCCCCTTTTAGCCCCAGCTTAGTTTCGCCCCAGCTTAGTTTCGCCCCTGGAATCTTTATAGGCAAACTAGGTATAACAAATTTAAAAGAATATCATAAGTTTATCCGTTCAAAAATATCATTTTAATTTTTATTTTAAAAAAAAATGACAATGTGTTGGTACTGTCCCTTTAATTGAGGAATAAGAAGAGATTCAGGGCGCCGAAAGAAACTGGTGGTAAAGTTTGGGGAGAGGTCTTAGTAAGCCCCTCCCTAGATTATGTTTGATAAATTAAACATGATAGGGAGCATTTTGGCGCACCGTTGAATGTATTTTTGCATCATTCTACACTTAACCGACTAGCAACAACAAAACACACACACACACAAAACAAACAAACAAAAAAACCAAAAAACGCAAGTTGAAGTTTAGGTTCCATTTCATTAACCATGTATCGGTTACACAATCCCTTTTATTTTTAATTGTACCTAAATAGTGATGTTGTTTAATGATTTTATTTTATTATGAAACCATTTATTTGTTTAAACTACTTCATCAGTGAACGAATTAAAAATGTATATATATATATATATATAGGTCTACATGTATATCTTACTAAATATTTCCGTTTAAAACAGTTGTCCACAAGAAAAAAAAAAAAAAAAAAAAAAAAAAAAAAAAAAAAAAAAAATAAAAAAAAAAAGTTTTTCATTTATCCAAACCTAAGTAGGTTTTTCCAAAATTAACAGTTAAAAAAAGAGAAAAAAAAAATGTTTTTAATAAAAAATCTATAGATTTTGTATGACTATTTAAAAATAAATTGTATATAAATGGAATTTAAAAAAGAAAAAAAAAGAAGAAGAAAGGACATTTTAAAAAAAAATATGTGAATTATCTGAGGGAAAATGAAACAGCATGAATTTTCAAACAAATGCAGCAACTTTAAAAGTTTATTTGACATTTCTAGCTGCTATAAATTTCTTCATTTAATTTACTAAATATTGAACTTTCGGTGGAATTTATAAGAGTGTTTGATTATGGACAACTTATCACAAGAATCTTTTTTCTAAAACAAGTACCTGAAATTGAAAAATGCATTTTAAAAAATGGAGAAACGTTGCTCCCGCTGTATTTTGAAGGCAAAATAAATTGCCAAAAAATGTTTCAATATTCATTCACTATTTTGGTTGCATAATGACCCTAGAAGCGCGATGTTCCCCAGAGGCGCGTGGCCCCCTAGAGGCATGAAACACTGGGAAAGTGCACAGTGTGCCCATGCCTTAAGACGGCACTGGGAGGGATGCCGCGCAGAAAAAAAACAAAAACAACCCGTCTAGAACCCCTTCAGAAGATTGTGTCATAATTAGCACACCAACAAGATTCGAGCTTTTGATAAATGCGACTTCTAATTTAGTTAGATACACAACAAAATGGGGGTGCAGATAATGTAATCATATTAAAGTATTTGGCAGACTTGCAAGCAGGGGCATGCCGATGAAAAGTGGCACCCTGGGCCTAATGCGTCACCAGGTTTGGTGTCACCCCCCCCCCCCTTACCTTTTTTTTCTTCCGGAAACCCCCACCACGCACTGCACCGAGTAATTCTTACCAGAGATGACGTCATCTTTCATTGTTTGTTAACGATGTCATAGCGCAAAATACATTGGGGTAAGCATAGAATTTGAGTTTGAGGTATGGGTCGACCTTAAAGAACGTCAGCAGAGACGGGGGGAGGGGCGGGGTGGGGAGGGGGAAGAGTGGGTTCGTTCAAAAGCGTACAAATTTGGATAGGGAGCAGGGGTGTAAAGGATCTTGCAGACGTCAGCAATCTAGCGTTCTTTTTAAGCATGGTGTTTGATGAACACTGCGTGAATTCTTATTTGATTGATCTATTTTAAAAAATCGAAAATATTATAATCATAAAAGATAAAGAATTAAGAGAAAAAAAATACAAGGGAGAAAATTCTAAATATTTGGAAGCTATTTATTTATCAACAAATTCAATGCGAGTTTTTTCCCTTGTTGACGTCGAATAATAAAATATAGAAAGGGCCATTGATATATCACGTACGCAAAATAATTAAAATATTAGACCACCCCCACCTCCTTGGCGTATCCGTCCTTTTTTTTTACGCACATGCCCTTTTGCGTACGTACAATGCGCTCTCAACCACGCACCCCCACTCCAATTTTTAAAAATTATAAACCATTATGATTATAAGGGAAATAAAGTTAAATGAAGTCAAGTTAACATGCAGAAGCAATATGCCATTGGTAGCACTTTTTTTCTATATTTGGGGGGGTGGGGGGCGGGGAAAAAGGTGTGTGTGTGTGTGTTTTTTTGGGGGGGGGGGTGGTGATTGGGGTCCGTTGGCAAAACATGCTTATCCTGTAAGGACAACCACTAACAGCCTTAGCGAAAATGCAACAAAAGTGTTTTTTATGGAAACATTTACAGTTTTCAATAAAAACTTTACTTGGCATTCAAAGGTGCATTGCCAATATCATTTTTTAGCAGGTTATTCATATCGTACTATAATTCCGTATCCTGAAATTTGTTTGAAAGAAATTTTGCCGACAAAAAAAATGATCGAGGGAAGTTTGGTCCAACAGAAGTTTGGTGGAATTTTATTTTTTTCAGTTGACACGATCAAATTTTCCTCAAATTTCTTTCTGAACGCACTACACGAGATAGTAAAACAAAATAATGCGTTCAAAAAGAAATTTGAAGCAAAATTTGAACGTGTGAACTGAAAAGAAAAATTCGACCAAACTTCCGTTCGACCAAATTTCCGTCGATCAATTTTCCGTCGACGAAATTTCGATCAAATAAATTTCCGGTAATCCTATAATTCATGATTTTTTCATGTCTTTAATGTATCATAACCTTTCCATTTTTTCCTAAACTCGCCAAAAAAAAAAAAATAAAAATCGCTGCGTTGGTGTAGAATGACCCTTCAG